TAACCTTTTAAAGTAATAATTAACTATATATTTTAAAAATATATTAATATCTTTATTATTATTTATATTAACGATATTTTTATCTTCTCTCTCGACCTCGAAATATATAAAAAGTATATTTATATAATATTTTAAAAACTTTAAAATATTAAATTATATACCGAACTTATTAAATGTAAGTTCTATATTTAAAAAGTAGATTTCTTTAAATATACTATTATATTAAGATAAATTTATATATAAACTTTAAAAGTAAAAGTAGTTAGGGACTAGCTTATATTATAAAACGTTAAAAATATATAAAGATTTTTAAGATTTGTTAATTTTTATTAACGATTCTTTAAAAACTATATTAATATGATTAGACCTTTTAATAACTTAATATAAAAAAATAACCCATTTATTTAAAACTTTAAATATATAAAAGTATTTATTAAGGTTAAAAATATAATTATTTTTAAATTAATAATTATAATCCCGAACCTTTAAAAACCTTTTAAAATCGAAACTAATACCTCGAACTTTATTATAAAAGTTATCCTAAAATAATAAAATAAATAAGGAAAATTTTATTTATATTATTTTTATTTTAAATTATTTTATAAAATAAAGCTAAATTAGTAAATATATAATAAGAAACTAATAATAATTATCAAAGTATTTCAAGAATAAAGGCTATAATTATTTAAAATTAAATATAAAGTTATAATATATATAAATTACAAAAATCTTATAAACTTTATAATAAATAAGAACTTAAATAAATAATAAATTAAATAGAGCGAATGTTTATTAAAATATAATTTCCGAATTATTTATTAAAAAGGTTTAGAAAATAGTAAAATAGATATTTTTAATAAAAAGCCTAATTATAAAGTTATAGTCCTTAAAAAAATAAAATTTATCCTTAAATAAAAAAAGGATAATAGCCTTTTATTAATTACGAAGCTTTTTATATTAACTAAAAAGATTAATACTAGCTTAATTAGGAAAATAACCTTTAAGTTTATTATAAAACTTTATAATATACCTATATATAATTATTAAGGAGTTATTAAAATATAAAAATAGATTTAATAATATTATAATAAATCCGCTATATACGCTAAAATTATAAACGTAATTAAAGATTATATAATTTATAAAAAAAATAAAAATAACCTATATAAGCTTTATAATAAGCTATAGTTATTATAACTATTTATAAAAATATAATAATCGATTTTATAGGACTTTATTATTAAAATATTAAAGTTTAAAGAACTATTTATAAATATATAATATAATAATATTTTAATTATAATCGATCGATTTACTAAATTTACTTATTTTATATCTTATAAAAAATCTAATAATATAAAAAAATTAATATATACATTCCTTAAAAACGTTATTATTAACTATAATAAGCTAAAAGAAATTATTTTTAATAAAGGCTCTTTATTTATTTTAAAGTTTTAAAAATCTTTAATCTCGTAATTTAATATAAATTATAAACTATTAACCTCTTTCTACCTATAAACTGATAATTAAATAGAAAAGATTAATTAAAGTCTTAAAATATATCTCCGTTATTATATAAATTATAATTAAAATAATTAGGTAATATTATTATTAATAGTTTAATTTATATATAATAATATAATTAATAGAAGTATAAGAAAATCTTTATTTTACCTAAATTATCAATTCTAGTTAATAATATATAAGGAAGTATAATAAGAATTATAAATTATAAAAATAATAATAAATATAATAAAACTTAAGAAAATCTAAAGAAAGGCGTTTTTAGATTTCGAGTTTATATATTAATATATAAAACAAAACGTAAATAAATTAAAGATTAAAGGACCAACTTTAAAAAAAGAATAATACTTATTTTCTTTACCGTAATATTAAAATAAAACGACTAAATAATAAATTAAATTATAAAAAGCTTAAACCTTTCAAAATTATTTAAAAAATCTTAAATATTAATTATAAATTAAGACTCTTAAATATAATAAAATATTATTTAGTCTTTTATATTTTACTTTTTAAATTAATACCTAAAGATTTATATATAAAAGACTATATTATTATAAAACTAAACGAATTAAAATATAAAATTAAATAAATTATCAATTATAAGGTTAAAAATAAAATACAAAAATTCCTAATTAAATAAAAAAACTATAAATATAAAGAAAATATATATGAATTTATTATAAATTTCTAGAACTTTTAATAACTTTTTAAGGATCATTCAAAGACTATACTAACGGACTTAAAAACAAGAACTTATTATTAATTTTAAAAATAAATTAATTTATATTATTAGGAACTTATATAAACTATAACTTCTCGACTATTTTATATTTATAAGTATTTAATATAGACTTTAAAATATTAAATTTATTTATTTTTTATATTTTATAATAAAAAGTCTCGGCTTAATACTTATATACTAACCTTTAAGTTTTTTAAATATAGAATAAATAATTAATAATAATAGCTATTAATAATTAAAAACGGGCTAACTCTTTATAAAGCTTTAATAACTCCTTACTTATTTTTTCCTCTTTTTTATTTCATTTCTTTTATTAAATATTAAGTTTTTAAATTATAAAAGAACGTTAAAAAATATAAAAAAAAAAGAATTTACAAATTAAAGTTATTAATATCTTACTATAAAACTTCTTTATTTTAATATGAATCCAAAATTAAAAAAACCTTTATTAAACTAATATAAAACCTTTATATAAAAATAATAAATATAAAATATATCGGTAATAACTAAACGAGTTTTAATAAACTTTAAAAATATAAAACGCTTATAATCTTTCATTTTTATTTTTATTTTTTTAAACTTTATTTTAAAATTTAATTTTTTAAATTTAATTTAATATTATATTAATATATTTTAATAAAATATTTAACGATTTTTTAATTTAAAAATAAACGATCTATTTATAGACCTAAAGGACTAGGTCTTTAAAAAAAAGAATTAATATTACAATTTAATATATATAACGAGGCTAGGGTCTTATTTTATAAAGCCTATAACGGCTATTATATTATATATATAAAAAAATAAATTTAAAATAATTCTTTTTAAATTAAAAGAATTATAAATAAATTATATAATAATAAAAAAGCCCGATGGACGATAAATAATTTATAAATAAAACTAATAAAATAAAAATAATTTACCTTTATAGAACTAATATTATAATATTAGTCTTAATTGTAAAAGAACTATTTAAATATTATATAGGATTTATATATAGGATAAACTTAAACCGGGCTTAAAAATAGACTTTTTATAACTTCTTTAATAATTAACTTAATATTAAATTTTATAATTATTTTTAACTATCTTTATTAAGAACCTTTTTAATAAACTTATAATTAATTACTAAAGCCTTACTTATTTTATAACTTATAGATATAGCTTTAAAGAAGCTATTTATAATTATAATATATTATTTATTTAATATCGTAGCCTTAACTTCTATAAATATGTTTATTACGACTAGCTGGCCGTAATATGCCTATGGTATTAGGGATTAGGTCTCAACCTAGGCCTTAGTAACGACCCCTTCCTTATTGAGGATCTGAGGATTATAACGGAACTAGGGAACTAGCGGGAACTAGGGATAGATAGAATATATAGTAGCCTTTAGGCAAGACTTGGAGGACGTTAGGAAGAGGTATGTACTGTAGAGTATATAGCTTGAGCCTGCGGCCCTCTACGCTATATACCCCTCGGGAGGTCGGCCGTAAAGGCGGCTGCGCCCTTGCCGCTACGGCGTTAAATATAATAATAATAATAATAATAATAAATTGTTATAATAGAAATAGAACGATCGAGCAGGAACAGGTCCTTTGTAGCTAGATCTTTATGATATCCTTTCCAAAGCAGGGGGTTGAGTCAGCAGCACAGCCCTAGACCGAAAATACGGCTGCTCTCCTCTGGACTTTGCTCGTTAAATTGCGAAGTAATCTATTATCTTCCCTTCAAGCTCTCCGATACCTCGAGAATAAACTCAACAATAATTATAATTCTGAACAGTATTCTAAATGTTGAGCTGATGTCTCTTCCGGTCTATTGATTGGATGCTGACCACAGGTAGGGGCACCATATAACATCGTATACAAACCCGAGAAACAAGAACAAGCATGCCAAGATGAAAGGGTAAGACCTCTTGAAGTGTTGGAGAGGCAACAGCGAGAGGAGCAGACATGAGGGCGTAAAATTGAGTTTCGTTGAGGCCACAATCTGCGCACTCGGGTAGCCGTTCTAGTGTGGCGGAGGGCCACAATGAGAAGACCGAGCCTAAGTCCTTTAAAGACAGCACCAGCAACAATGTTAGCGACACACATCAGGACCAGGCCACGTGCAATTGACTGGCTTCTGGATCGGGAGAGGCAGACTATGTGAAGGCCGGCGACGGCCACAAACCCAGCCGCAGCCGCGACCGACAGCCAAAACGCCCATCAATACTCGGTCACCCTGAATGTAGATGCAGATACAACAAAACTACCAGACTTCTTCTCACTTCAGGACGGTCGACGATGTAAACCATTTAGGCAGCACTTCACATCAGATTTCAAACCTAACTTCGACGTCATCTCAACCATACTATCTAATTACCACTATTACACAATAGATGTTCAAGCAACTACCTAGGAGAAGGGCACGATCAATAGGATACTATCAATCCAGAGAATATCCACGAGACATTGATCGGACTGGGTTCAGCTACTGTACCCAGGTATCTTATGGAGGCCGAAGAGGATTCGGGAATAGTTCTTCAAGATACGCAGGAATATCTAGGCGGTCGGATTAGCCTTAGATGATGACCTAGAACATGGGGTCAGTCGGTGACTCTGCCATCAAAACTACAAAACGGCATTGTGGATCATGTTATAACAGGTTGGAGGGGGGGCGTTAAGACTCAGTTGAATTCACAACAGCCACAGGATGGCAAGGCATGTTACGCATCATGGGAGGACACGGGGCTGATGAAAGCACTTGAATACCATTTGACTACAGCTATGGACAACGCTCATTAGTTTTCCGCCATTTCCATGAGCATCATATTCTTCATTATTGGCCGTTAAATGATTATGTCGACGTATCATGACTTTTCGACCGTAATGTCATGAAGTCTCAGTTTAAAGAGTTAAGAGACAAGCTCCCAGCACAGCCGGCAACAACAACGCACGAACGTCGGAGCCAAAGTGCCCAGCCAGTGAATCCGACTCCGTCGGCGACGGTGAGCCGGCCGCTCCAGTGGGAGTGCCTCCAGATCCAGTACTAGTAGTGGGTTCAGGCATGGAAGCGCCGCCGCTGCCCTCATCCAGTTAGTCACGGGCGCCTTGGCGTCGCCGATGAGCAGACCCGAGATCGCACCCAGCACGCTCGTTCCTTCACCGACGCCAGTGATGGCGCCCGTTCTATTATCCACTGTCTGCGGGTCGGTTAACTCGACGTCGCTCCAGTAGAAACCACAGGTCGTCGTGCCCCTGGCGTTGTCCTGACACTGCTTCGCCGCAGCCAGGGCTGATGACCTCAATACGGTAAGTACCTCTTCTGAGAGGTAAGGGGCCACCTGGGTGGCGACAGAGAGCCATCGATGGACATAACCCTTCATGAACATGGCGTCGGTCGGGCAGCTGCCCTTGATTCCTTCGCAGGCGGCTTCATAGGCGATGCCCTGAGGGAAGAATGTCTTGATGCTGGCCTCGGCAAGCTTTTCGGCGCGGTCACGCCAAACACTGGAGCCATTCGTCTATGGAAAGAGGTTAGCCTGGGTTCGCATGATCCCAGAGACAAGCAGCTCGTTACAGGACAAACTTACGAAGTTGTACATGAACGCGGCACCCTCTGTGAGAATAGCCGCGTTCTGAGACCACTGGTACTTCGCAGGGCTGGTACAGTTGTCGTCCACATTAGCTCCGTCGTACACCTCCCAAGTTTTGGTGTCAATGAAGCCAACGCTTTCGAGCCAGTCCCATGCCTTCACAGCGTGCTCAGCATAGGTCGTGTTGCCAGTATACCTCGCGAGACGGGCGCCCATGTTGAGGAAACACGCGTTTGACATGGCTGCAAATGCGCATTAGCATCGTCTATCCTAGGCCAACATCGCCGAGGGGAAGATCCTTACTATTCTTGTAGTTATACCCAGCATTCGACATCATAATCTGCCAACGCAGCCCGCCCCTGCAGGTCTCGTCGTATCGGTCCGGCGAAGCCTGATTCGCCCAAACGTTCTTGGCCACCTCAATCCATGAGGGCTTGCCATCCGCGTTCGGCAATTGGTACTCCGCAGCCTGCAGCGCAGCCGTACCCCAGAAACACTGGTCGTCGTTCCCCATCGACGCAGTCCAGTTAGGCGGCATGTAGTTGGCATCGGGGCCTAGTTGGAAGGCTAACGCCTTTACAATGCTGTCTTGGAAGGAGTCGTCGCCGGTCAGGTGCTGGTAGTCGACGTAGGTCTGGAAGAAGCTGGCGCCGTGGTACCAGTAGTAGCCGCCCGAGCTCGGGGTGGGAGGCCCCGGAAGAATGCCGGGGATTTTGCCAGGCTTGTCGCCCTCGTAGACGGTAAATAAGTCCTTGGCGAGCTTGTTGGAAGATGCGACAATCTCATCGCGAGAGCTGGTCTTGAATTCGGCGGCTGAGCCAGGGAGTCTGCCAAGGAGGAGAAGGACACTTGCGAACGCGGACGCATAAGACGAAGCCATTCTGTGATGAAGTACAAAAGCTGGTCGCGAGAGATCCAACAACAACGAGAGTTGATTGCAAAGCGAGTGATTTGGCACAACAGAAGAACGAATGTGAGGGAGGCCGTACAAATAGACTCCCTGATAGAAGAAAGCAGCGATGAGATGAGACAACCACACAGCCAGGCGATTGTCTTTCTCTAATTGCACAAAGTGAAAAAGGTAATGAAAACTTTTAAAGGAAAAACACAGCAGTAAAACACCACATACGATCTCGCGACAAACACGCCATGCTTAGTGCTTACTGAGGTCAGACCCCGCGTTATACCCCCCGCTGTGCCGCATCGTTTACCTTCTTTAATCGAACCGTTGCATGCTTGGCGAGAATCTTACGTAGCCCCGGAAATTTTCATGTCGGGGGGGGGGATGTCGCCAAACATTGAATGGGGTATGACCATATGCGGCGAGTCTATCCAAAGCAAGAAGTTAATGCCATCCTCCCCCTTCAACCATGAACGCCGTGCCCGATGAAGACTTGACACATTCGTACCGGTCTCTTTTCTACGATGCTTCCAAACCGTCAAACCCCATTGACCGCCTTTATGTTTGCCGCCTTTTCTAAAATTGGAGTGCTCGTCTCCCCCGACTGACCCTGGTCGCTCGTTCGCCCCGCGTTATTGGTTTCTTCTTCGGTCGACTGTGCCGCCTGGGAAACCTGTTCCGGTGTTTCGGCCTTAGTAACACCCTCCTTAGGTGCATCGTTTTCTTGGCCTGAAGCGAAGGCTTTAAGCGCTTTCATCTCAGAGCTTCATTTCTCTTGGCCTTCTTTGCTGTCTCCGCTTTCTTGCGTCGCCAGCCCTCGTCCACGATGGCCTTTCTCCTCGACAACCCATTCAGCAACCCAGTCAACGGCTCATTCAGCAGCACTTCAGTACTTGAGAAGGAACACCTGGAGTTGCGCGGGCGTGGAGACGTCGTCTGGTATTTCCTTGCCGAATCTGTCGACCAACCGATCGAAGTCTTCTTCTTGCTGCTGCTGTAAAAGGTCGGTACCCTTCTCGAGCAGCGTTGATCCATGAGATGAGAGTTGAAGTCTGTATATCCGCTCGAACATTCCTTTGTCGCCCTGCCTTGGGATATTGCCAAGATAAATCATCTTGTCGATACGGCCAGGCCGGGCCAGCGCCTTGTCGAGCTTGTGAGCTACGTTCGACTTCATTAAGGCGATACGGCCTTCCTGTGACACGACTACATCGAGAACGCGGAGTAGGCCAGATAACGTGCATCGAGACCAGCTGTATGAAAAAGAGGGAGCCCCGGAGGAGGCTGCGCAAGTGCAGAGGGAGTGGCTTACGCAGTATGCACGGGGGAGCATGATGCACATTGTGGGACTGTGGATACCTGAGGCAGTACACACTGTCCATCTGGACCAACGAGGCAAGCGAGGGTTGCAATACAGCATGTATTGACCGTCGGTTGATGATGTTGTCAAATTGGATGCCTGAGTATCAAGGCAAGACGGCACGCACGGGGCAGAATTATCCCTACGTGCACAAGGCGAATGCGGCTTAGATCCGTAAGCCAATATGGACGCAGAAGGCAAACTTCGTGACAATTACACATACAGAGACAGATACACAATACATATAAATTAACGCCCAATACCTCATAATTCGACACTTAGAGCTGATCTGCAAGCAGCGGCCCCGTGTTACCGCCAGCTAGTCGTAGGGGTATATTTATAGAAGCTGAGGCTGCGATACTCAGTAATAGTATCGTACGTCTAGTTAATATAATAATTAGATATAATAATTAGATATAATAATTAGATATAATAATTAGATATAATAATTAGATATAATAATTAGATATAATAATTAGATATAATAATTAGATATAATAATTAGATATAATAACTAATTAAATATAATAATTAGATTATTATACGTTGCGGTCGAATAACTTCCTAGAAGCTATATCTATTAATTGTAAGTAAGTAAGGCTTTAGAGATTAATTATAGTCTTATTAAGTAATAGCTAAAAATAGAAATAAATCCTAATACGGAGTTAATTATTAAAGAGCTATAAAAAGTCTATCCTTAAGCCTAGCTTAAGTCTATACTATATATAAGTATTACTAACTATACTATTATATACGAATTGGGCCATTAATAATAATACTACCTAATTATTTTGATCGTAGTTCATATAATAATAGAAGTATATTTCGAGAATCTAGTTAATTCTTTTTGTCTAACTATCGGTTTACAGATAGAAGGTGGTTAATAGTTTATAATCTATACTAAATTACGAAATTAAGGATCTCTAAAACTTTAAAATAAATAAAAAGCCTCTATTAAAAATTACTTCCTTTAGCATACCGTAATTAATAATAACGTTTTTAAAGAACGTATATACTAATTCCTCGGCGCTACTAGCTTCTTTATAAGGTATAAAGTAGGCGAACTTAGTAAATCGGTCGACTATAATTAAGATATTATCGTACTATATATTTATAAATAGTTCTTTAGACTTTAATAATTTAATAATAAAGTCCTATAAGATCGATTATTATATTTCCGTTAGTAGTTATAATAGTTATAGCTTACCGTATAGTTTATATAGGCTATTCTTACTTTTTTTATAGATTATATAATCCTTAATTACTTTTATAATCTTAGTGCGTATAGCGGATTTATTATAGTACTAATAAATCCGTTTCTATATTTTAGTAACTCCTTAATGGCCATATACAGGTATATTATAAATTTCTATAATAAGCTTAGGGGTCATTTTTCTAGTCGGGCTAGTATTAATCTTTCTGGCTATTATAAAAAGCTTCGTAGTTAATATAAAGCTACCGTCCTTATTTAGTTTAAAGATAACTTAAGTTTTCTCGGGGACCATAACCTCGTAGTTAGGTCTTTTATTAAAAGTATCTACTCTATTATTTTTTAAATCTTTCCAATAGATAATTCGGAAGTTATACTTAAATAGGAATTCGCTCTATCTAACTTACTATTTATTTAGATTCTTATTTGTTATAAAGTTTGTAAGGTTCTTATGGTCTATATAGACTATAATTTCGTATTTAGTTCTAGATAACTATAGTCTCTATTCTCAAAATACTTTAATAATAGCCATTAGTTCCTTATCGTAGATCTGCTAATTCAATTCTGTTCTATAGAATACTTTAGAATAGAAATAATATAAATAAAGTTTTCTTTATTCGTCTCGTTATCCTAAGACTACTCCCATAGTAAAGTTTAAAATATCGGTCTTAACTTCGAAGGCTTTTTAAGGGTCCGGGATTATAATTACTAGTTTAAAAACGAATATATTTTTAATTTTAATAAAGGCCTTTTCATACTAAAAATCCTAAATAAATAAGTTATCTTTTCGTATTAGGTTATTAAGAGGTCTAATAATATTAATATAATTTTTAAAGAATCGTCGATAAAAGTTAACGAATCTTAAGAATCCTTATATATCCTTAACGTTTTATGGTATAGGCCAGTCCCTAACTACTTCTACTTTCGAAGTTTATATATAAATTTATCCTAGCGTAATAATATATTTAAAAAAGTCTACCTTCTATATATAGAACTCGTATTTAGAGGGTTTAGTATATAGTTTAGTATTTTAGAGTTTTTAAAATACTATATAGATATACTTCTTATAAGTTTCGAGGTCGGGAGAGAAAATAAGGACGTCGTTAATATAGACAATAACGAAGATATCGACGTATTCTCTAAATATATAGTTAACTATTATTTAAAATGTTATTGGTATGTTAGTAAGTCTAAAGGGTATGACGAGGTATTTAAAAAGTCCTCTACGTATTCGGAATACGGTCTTCTATTTGTCTCTTTCTTTAATTTAGATCTAGTTAAATACTTCCTTAAGATCTATCGTAATAAACTAATTAGCTCCGTAAAGTAGATCTCTAAGTTCTATAATAAGGGGTAAAAGATAATAATTCTTTTTAGTAATTTCGTTAAGTTTCTTATAATCGATTATAGGTCTTAATTTCTTTCCTCCCTTCTTTAATATAAAGAACAGGGGAAATCCTACAGGAGAATTCAACAGTTAAATATGTCCCTTACTAAGTTTTTCGTCAATATATTTATTAAGGTATTCTTATTCCTTTTAGTTTATAGGGTATAATAGGTAAAATCCAGGTTATGTTCCTTCCTTAAATTTAATCTCTATATCCCAGCTACTATGTTCTAGTAATCCTATTTCTTTAAGTTCTATAAATAATTTTATATATTTCCGGTACTCCTTAGGTATAGTCTAGAGTCGTTACGATCCTTAATCGTTAGTTCCGATTATAAACTTCTTAAAGCTTTCTACTATCTTAATAAAAACTATATATTATATTTATTTTCTTTCTTTAGGAATTGCTAAGAATCTACTTAAACCCTTTTTCTTTTAAGGTCGTTTAGTAACTAGAGTCTCCTATTAGACTTAGCCAGTTATCTAATTTATCCATAAATTATGTTTTTATAACTACGAAAGTCCTAAGATAACATCGATATCTCCAATCTCCGTAATATTATATTTTAATTATTCTTACCGATTATTAATATATATCGAAAGGTATATAATCTCTCGATTAATATATCCGAAATCGTATTTAACTCGTTCTCTTTTTACTATTTATAGTTAGTAAGGGTTATCCTTCTATATCTATAGTAGGTCAAGCTTATTTATTACCGTTAGTGAGATATAGCTTTCTTATACGCCACTATTAATAATAGCGTTTAGTACTTTTCCGTAAATTTCGAATTTTACTTATAGGTATATATCGTTACGCTATTTAGTTATATATAGGAACTTATTTTCTAATCTCGCTTTTCGTCATTCTTTCGCAATTAGCTTTCTTAATTTTTTAACGCTTGTTTCTTTTATCGGGCTTCTTATCGTTCTTAATTCTTTCTTTAGGCCTTAGCCTTTCTAATATAATAGATCTAGCATTAGTTATGTCTATAGTCTTCCTAATTTATATATTAACTATTTAAATACCTTATAGGGAAGTTTAGGTCTAGACCGAATATTACTTTATCGTTATCGTTATAGTACTATAGCATCCAATTAAGTAATTAGTCATCCATATAGACATCCTTAATATATTTACTATTACGCCTTTATAGGTAAAAGTGGCTATTTTATTTAAATATAAAGTACTAAAGGCACTTATCGTCTAGGTATTCTACCTAAAATAATTCCTTATAAAAAGGGTCCTTAGGGTTAAATAAAGAGTAGTCTTTCTCTATATAAAGAGTTATTATATCTTTCTTACGTTCTCTAGTTCTATAGAACTAAATAACTTAATTATCCCTAAATAAATAAATATATTTATACCTTAGTTCGTCATTATCCTCTTTAAAGCTAATATCGTTAACGCTAGGCAGTACTTTATAATCAATCTCCATCTAAATACGTCGTCGAGCGACGTTACGAGGTTTATCCAAATTATTAAGTAATTTTTCGTTAAGGTAATAGGAGCTATTTCCTATACTAATTTTCCTTTTTTCGATTTAAAAGTCGATTCTTCTTTCGTTTATAATACTAAAGTTAAAAGTTAGTCTCTTAAGTACTTCGATTTTATTTTTACAGGATAGGTCTTTAAGCTACTTTTTAACTTTATAAATAAATTTTTTATTACCGTTTTCTTATCGTATTATATAGATAGTCTTAATTAAGAGTTCTTTTTTCTTTATTACCGCTAAGGTTTTAATTAATAGTAGTATAGTATTATATTTTAATCGTCCTTTATTCTTAAGTTTTTTAAGATACTATCCTATTTATTCTTTACTATTTCGGTATATAAAATAGCTATCGTCGTAATAGCCTGTCTATAATAGCTATATATAAGGAACTTCTTTAATAGCGAGGTTAGCCCTTTTTTCTAGAACGGGTTAGTTTTAGATATGCTTAGATTATCGATAATCCCTAACTATATATCCTAATTTATCATAATTATAGTACTTAAACTTTTTTTTTAATCGGTCTTCTTCCTTTTTAATAACGTTAAGGTCTATAAGACCTTCGTACTATTTATAAGCGGTATTTTAGCAGTTACTATTCTAGTTATTACGGGGTCGTTAATTAATCTAAAAGTTACGTTAAGGTTGCTATTAATATTTACGTCCTATATTAGATTCTTACTTACGATCCTTTCTTTTTTTTTTTTACTCGTAAAGTTAGTTATCGAGCTTAATAATAAGTTCACTATATTAGAGGAAGTTATCTAGTCTATCGAATAGGACCAATTCGTCCTTAACTTTATCCTTTAGTCCTTAATAAAATATAAACATTTTCGTATCGTTAGTAAGGTCTAGTTAAATATTAAGACGTCTAAACTTAATAGAGTATTCC